CTTGATTTCTTCTCACTTTGCTTGAAATTGTTGTGAATTGCTTCAATACACTTCTGTAAACAGTTTACATGCACAGTGATCTATAAGTCAAGGACTTTTATTGGGAAAGGGAGGAAGAAGCCTCGTTTGCCCTTGTGCAGAACACATTCTGGTACAGAGCAGACATTGTGCCAATCTGCCTTTGAACCCAGAAGCCCCTCCCACATGCCGTTTAACCCTTTTGGTTTGTGAGGGACAGCCAATCCCAAGAAAGCTGGTTTAAGTCTCATCTGAAATTTCCCCTTGTGGGACTAATAAAGGTATATCAATCAATTCAATTCAATCCTGAAGGGCATGATTAGTTAAAATGGCTTCTGTCACATAAAAGATGAATGAAATACGGATTATTTTGACATGAGTCAAAACAGGTCCTCCATACACCCAGTCACTGACCTCAGTCGTGAACTGCATCCAAATGAGGCACAATTTAAATCAAAAGTCTTGAAAAACTTGTTTTTACATTGTTTTTCTTAGCTGCTGTTGTTGCTTCAAGAGACAAACACCAACATCACAAACAGCTCATGTGAAACGGTGTGAAAATGTGTGTTTACATAACTGCCACGCAGATCCTCCATCAGCCATAAGCAAGACAAGACATTAAAAATGACAAATTAAAGGAAAAACCCATACGCTTGGCCTCTATAGTGTGGGGATCCAGTGGTAGTAAAAGGCAGGGTCTGGCATCTTTTGGGTCAATCTGACTTCTTTTTTGTTCTTTTTTTCGGCCCCCCGCCCATCCAAATTTGTCAACTACATGCATGTGCAGAACTCACAGCTGACAGACAAAGGGGTCCAAAAGTAATTTCCTTTGTACTTACAGCTTATCAGTCACTAACCCTCAAAGTCCCACAGAGCATTTTGTTAGAGCAGTTGTGTAAACTTTCTGTGCAGAGACGCAACCAACAAGCAAGGACACACGTGAGAGTGGGCAAGCCATGTAAATGTGAACTGTGTCTGCAAGAGATTTATGCAAACTCCCTCCTCACACGCACAGAAACCTGCAGGACCTGGCTGGGTGTGGATTCATTTTACAGAGACAGAAGGGGGCATGTTTCCCCCCAGTCTGCAGCCCCCCTCTCCCGGGACAAGACGAACCAGTTTCCTTCTCTCGCCTTCTTTCAGAAACACGCACACAGGCACAGGCCTTGAATCATTCATTAACAGGTCTGACCCCTCCACACCCACCAGAGCTCACCAAAACCCCACAGGTCTCTCATGTCACCTGTTAGCCCCTCCCTCCTCCACCTAGGAATTACACAAGCATTGCTTTTCCATCACCAACACCTTACTCCCGTCCTCAATGATCAATACCAGTTCCCTTTTCCTCGTTACCTAAGAAGGAAAACGCCCAATAAAGTCAAGTGAGAGCGGATTATACACCTGTTGCTCCAAGAGCCCGGGACTAGTTTCCTTCTCCTAATTCTGGGTCTGGAATCAAATGAAGTCTATAAACACTTCTAAACCTCCTTACAATAGAAAATGTGAGGCTGTTGACAGCTTTTTAACAAGGTGTGAGGAATATTGATCTCACCTGGCAGGGCTCGTGGGGAGGGGGAGGGCAGGGGGGATTAAAGAC